GTAGGGATATAGATGGAAAAATATTACCTACTAGATAAAAGAAACAGGGGCAATCAAATTAGGAATCATAAATAACTACAAATTCACAAAAGGAACAAATGAAAACTAAAATAGATCCGTACAAAGACACTATAGAAAAACAGAAAATACGAATAAAGAGACCTCAGCTAATAAAATTCTTCCTCAAAACACAACCATGGGCCAGGTGCAGTGGCTCACATCTGTCGTCCCAGCACTTTGGGGGCCAAGGCAGGTGGATTGCTTGAGCACAAGAGTTCAAGACCAGCTTGGACAACATAGTCAGACCCCACTCTACAAAAAATAATTTGAGCAGGTGTGGTGGTGCATGCCTGTGGTCCCAGGCACCCGGGAGGCTAAGGTGAGAGGGTCACTTCAGCATGGGAGGTCAAGGCTGCGATAAACTATGAGCATGCCTCTACACTCTAGCCTGAGTGACAGAGCAAGACCCCATCTAAAAAAAGCCACAACCATGAAGAAAGAAAACTGTAACTGAAATAAATATCCTCAGGCAAACTTGTAAATCTAGAAAAACAACTTCAATCAGAAAATCAAAAGTTAAAAATGAATGGACAAACAGTAAGAAGAAATAAAAAGCGGAAAGTGGTTGAAATGGAACTCAGGCTAAACAAAGAAGAAATCTGAAGCCTGGGCGCAGTGATTCACGCCTGTAATCCCAGCACTTTGGGGAGGCTGAGGTGGGTGGATCACTTGAGGTCAGGAGTTCAAGACCAGCCTGGCCAACATGGAGAAACTTCATCTCTACTAAAAATGTAAAAATTAGCCAGGTGTGGTGGTGGGCACCTGTAATCCCAGCTACTAGGGAGGCTGAGGCAGGAGAATCGCTTGAACCTGGGAGATGGAGGCTGCAGTGAGCTGAGATCACACCACTGCACCCCAGCCTGGGCAACAGAGCGAGTTTCTGTCTCAAAAAAAAAAAAAAGAAAGAAAGAAAGAAAGAAAAGAAAGCAACTAAAAGGGCATTTCAAAAAGGTTCTAGGTATGATGCCTTACAAAAGTAAACTAAAAAAAAAAAAAGGCATGGGCCGGGCACAGTGGCTCACCTGTAATCCCAGCACTTTGGGAGGCCAAGGAGGGCAGATAACAAGGTCAGGAGGTTTGAGACCAGCGTGGCCAACATGGTGAAACCCCATCTCTACTAAAAATACAAAAATTACCCAGGCGTGGTGGTGCGCGCCTGTAATCCCAGCTACTCAGGAGGCTGAGGCAGGAGAATTGCTTGAACCCGAGAGGCGGGTTGCAGTGAGCTGAGATCGTGCCACTGCACTCCAGCCTAGGGGACAGAGCAAGTCTCTGTCTCAAAAAATAGGATTGCTTGAGCCCAGGAGTTCAAAGCTGCAGTGAGCTATGACTGCCACTGCACTACCGCCTGGGCACCAGAGCAAGCAAGACCCTATCTCAAAAATAAATAAATAAATAAAGCAAGCTAGCAAGAGAAAAGTAAACCAGACAAAAACATTTAAAAAAAAAATTTTTTTTGAGACAGTCTCACTTTGTCACCAGGCTGGGGTGCAGTGGCACAATCTTGGCTCACTGCAACCTCCGCCTCCTGGGTTCAAGCGATTCCCCTGCCTCAGCCTCCCGAGTAGCTGGGACTACAGGCTCATGCCACCATGCCTGGCTAATTTTTTTTTTTTATTATTTTAGTAGAGATGGGGTTTCACCATGTTGGCCAAGATGGTCTTGATCTCCTGACCTCATGATCCACCCACCTTGGCCTCCCAAAGTGCTGGAATTACAGGCGTGAACCACTGTGCCTGGCCAAGAAAACTTTTTAAGAGATAAAAGCAGAAATTAATAAGCAACAGAATAGAAAAATAATAGGCCTAATGATTTCATAAATCAAATCCCTAAGTATTTATTTCTAGAAAACTGGCAAGCAATTAGCTAATTTACTCAAGAAAAATAAGATAATACAAATACATAAAATAAGATACCAAGAGGGCCGGGTATGGTGGCTCACACCAGTAATCCCAGCACTTTGGGAGGCCAAGGCAGGTGGATCGATCACCTGAGGTCAGGAGTTCAAGACCATCCAGGCCAATATGGTGAAACCCCATCTCTACTAAAAATGCAAAATTAGCCGGGTGTGGTGGTGGGTGCCTGTAATCCCAGCTATTTGGGAGGCTGAGGCAGCAGAATTACTTGAACCCAGGAGGCAGAGGTTGCAGTGAGCCAAGATCACCCCATTGTACTCCAGCCTGGGCAACAAGAGTAAAACTCTGTCTCAAAGAAAAAAACCCAAGGGAAAAAATTATGAGAGAATACATTGCAGCAGTCAAGAAAGAGACAATAATAGACTTGAACAAATGGGAAGACATTTCTTTTCCTTGGATAAAATGACTCAACATCAAAAATAGATCTGTTCTCCCGGTTAATTTATAAAAGTATCATAATCCCAATAAAAATGCCACCAAGATTTTTTATAGAGCTAGACATATTGAAACTAAAGTTCATATGGAAAAACAAACATGCAAGAATTGCCAGGAAAACACTGGGAAAAAAAAAAAAAAAAACTAAAAGAGAACATTAGCCTTCCCAGCTTTGCACGCTAAAGCCTCTGTCATTAAAACAATGTGGCGCTGTGCAGAGACAACAGACCAGGAAGGCTGAGTAGAAAGTCCAGAAACATATCCTCATGATACTCTATCCACAGAAATCCAGAGTGTGGGGCTGGGTGGGCACTGCGGCTCATTCTGATAACCCCAACACTTTGGGAGGCCAAGGCAGGAGGATCACTTGAGCCCAGGAGTTTGAGACCAGCCTGGGTAACAGAGCAAAACCCTTTTTCTACAAATCAAATAAAATCAAAATTAGCTGGGTGAAAGAAAAAATAAAACCTAGGTCAGGCATGGTGGCTCACATCTGTAAACCCAGCAGCTTGGGAGGCCAATGTGGGAGAACTGCTTGAGCCCAGCCAGGAGTTCAAGATCAGCCTGGGCAGCATAGTGAGACTTGTCCCTATTTCAAATAAATAAATAAAAATAAAATACAACCTAGAATGCGATAAAGGTAAAATCTCAAATCATTAGTGCAAAGACAGATTTTTTTATATATGGGAACAGGTTCTCACTCTGTCACCCAGGCTGGAGTGCAATGGCGCAGTCAAACCTCACTGCAGTCTTGAACTCCTAGCAAGCAATCCTCCTAACTCAGCCTCTCAAGTAGCTGAGACTAGAAGGCACACGCCACTCTGCCCAGCTAATTTTTAAAATATTTTCTTGTAGAGACAGGGTCTTGTTATGCTGTCCAGGCTGGTTTTGAATTCCTGGCCTCAAGCAATCCTGCCTCAGCTTTCCAAAATGCCGGGATTACAGGTGTGAGCCACCATACTTGGCCGAGAATTTTTAATAAATGGTGTAGGGACAGCTGATTAGCCACTTGGAAAATGATAAATTAGATCTATACCTCACATCAGACACAAAAATGAACTCCATATGAGTCAGGAATCTAAGTGCAGAAAAATTAAACCAGGTACTAGAAGAAAACATGAGTGAATTCCTCAGTGACTTAGGTACCAGGAAAGGTTTTACTGTTGTTTTTTTGTTGGTGGTGGTTTTTGATATGAAGTCTTGCTCTGTCGCCCAGGTTGGAGTGCAGCGGCACAATCTCAGCTAACTGCAACCTCCAACTCCTGGGTTCAAGCAATTCCTCAGCCTTCCAAGTAGCTGGGACTACAGGCATGAGCTACCACACCCAGCTAATTTTTTTTTTTTTTTACTTTTAATTTTTGTATTTTTAGTAGAGATGAGGTTTCTCCATGTTGGCCAGGCTGGTCTCGAACTCCTGACCTCAGGTGATCGCCTGCCTCGGCCTCCCAGAGTGCTGGGATTACAGGCGTCAGCCACTGTGCCCAGCCAGGAAAGGTTTATCTAACTCTGATTCGAAATCCAGATTCAATAAAATAAAGGATTGATAATTTGACTACCTAGTAATTTTTTAAATTGCATGGCCAAAAAAATTATACATAAGGTTAAAAAAACTGACAAACTAGGAGAAAACATTTGCAATGTATACCACAAATAAAGGCCTAATGTAAATATGAAGAACTCACAAAAATTGATAAGGGACCAAAAAATGGACAAAAACCCATGAAGAGAAAATCCACCCAAAAAAATTATATAATACAGCCAGGCACGCCTGTAATCCCAGCGCTTTGGGAGGCCGAGGTGGGCGGATCACAAGACCAGCCTGGCCAATATGGTGAAACCACCCTGTCTCAAAAAAAGGAAAAAAAAATTATATAATACAAATACCAGCCAGGCATGGTGGCATGCACCTGTAGTCCCAGCTACTTGGGAGGCTGAGGCAGGAGAATCACTTGAGCCTGGGAAGTGGAGGCTGCAGTAAGCCAAGATCATGCCACTGCACTCCAGCCTGGTCGACAGAGTGAAACTGTCTCAAAAAAAAAAATAATTATATAAAAAGGGTCCTTAATCATATGAAAAGATGTTCAACCTCATTTTCAATTTGAAAAATGTCAATTAAAACAATTTCAAGATACTATTTCTCACCTCTCGAATTGGTAAAAATTTTAAAGTGTGACATTCTTTTAGCAAGGTTGTGGGGAAACGGGCGTTCTCATACACTGCTGGAAATGCAGACTGCTACAACCCTTATGGAAAGAAATATGAAAATCTCTTTAAAAACTACACATTTGCCTTTTGACTTAGCAACCTCACTTCTAAAAATGTACTAGGAGAGCCCAGGCGTGGTGGCTCACACCTGTAATCCTAGCAATTTGGGAGGCCGAGTTGGGTGGATCACTTGAGCTCAGAGTTCAAGACCAGTCTGGGTAACATAGTGAGACCCAGTCTCTACAAAAAATCGAAAATTAGCTGGGCATGGTGTTGTGTGCAAGTAGCCCCAGCTACTCAGGAGGCTGAAGTGGGAGGTTGGCTTGAGCCCAGGAGGTAGAGGTCGTAGTGGGCTGAGTACAGGATTTTTTTTTTATGGGTTTGTTTTTGTTTTTTTTTTTTGACAGTCTCACTCTGTCATCCAGGCTGGAGCACAATCTCAGCTCACTGCAACCTCTGCCTCCTGGGTTCAAGCGATTCTCCTGCCTCAGCTTCCTGAGTAGCTGGGACTACAGGCACATGCCACCACACTTGGCTAATTTTTTTGTACTTTTAGTAGAGGTGGGGTTTCACTGTATTAGTCAGGATGGTCTCTGTCTCCTGACCCTGTGATGCACCTGCCTCAGCCTCCCAAAGTGCTGGGATTACAGGTGTGAGCCACCACGCCAGCCAGGATTGTTTTTAATAGTGCTATGGATGGAGGATTCTGAAACTGTATTCTAGTTTTGCTCAACTAAGTAAACGCATTACAGATAACGGAGTCAAGTTTCTTACTGTCAACAGAGAGAATTACAAACAAGGAAGAGGAAAAGCTAAAATGAATCCAGTGATGTTAGGTTGGAATTGGAGGTTTCAGGAGGAAACCTGAATATGGTTTTTTATATAGATGACAGAGATGTTGTTGTATGCATCATATAATTCTTTTCTGGTTCTGTCCACTGAGAGAGCCTAGAAGTAATGACATCCCAACTAGCAATGTGCACACGCCAGCACCCAGATCGCGTTTGTAAATTCCACTAGCAGGGTTCCCTGGAGAAATGGCTGGTTCCAACACTACAGTCAGGAAGGCAGGATTAACCCAAAACATCTTGCTGTGCCAAACAGTAAGAAAGTAGTCAAAGAGTGACAGGACATCTCCCCAAGTCACAGAAGCCAGCTTGAAGGGACTCCCACCAGTCAAACTTGGGATCATTTGAGCATCAAAAGAAGTTACAGCAGTAAGGAAGTATGGCCGGGCACAGTGGCTCGCGCCTGTAATCCTGGAACTTCAGGAGGCCGAGGCAGATCAATCACCTAAGGTCAGGAGTTCCAGACCAGCCTGGCCAACATGGTGAAACCCCATCTCTACTAAAAATACAAAAACTTAGCCAGGCATGGCAGCAGGCGCCTATGATCCCAGCTACTTGGGAGGATGAGGCAGGAGAATCGCTTGAACCCGGGAGGCGGAGGTTGCAGTGAACAGAGATCAAGCCACTGCACTCCATCCAGCCTGGGCAACAAGAGCAAAACTCTATCTCAAAAAAAAAAAGGAAACCCTTAGAATAAAGTAAGGATCCTTAAGTCTACACTGATAGAATGAAAGGAAAGCAATAAAATAACTAACAAATGTAGAAGGAATGACAGAATTTGAAAAGCAGTATTTGGTAGTCACCCTAGTTGGGAGAAGGTTTTGATGACAAACAGAATACAAAGTATCAAAGTAGGCCAGGCGCAGTGGCTCATGTCTGTAATACTAGCATTTTGGAAGGCCAAGGCGGGTGGATCACCTGAAGTCAGGAGTTCGAGACCACCCTGGCTAACATGAGGAATCCCCTTCTCTACTAAAAATACAGAAATTAGCCAGGCTTGGTGGCATGTGTCTGTAATCCCAGCTACTCAGGAGACTGAAGCAGGAGAATTGCTTGAACCCAGGGAGTAGAGGTCACAGTGAGTTGAGATTGTGCCACTGCACTCCGGCCTGGGCAATAGAGTGAGACTCCGTCTCAAAAAAAAAAAAATCTAATCAAAGTATCTCTTCACCAAATATTTATTAATTACAAAGGGAAAAGCAAAAGTTACAGCAAGAAACTTGGCAGATATTACCCTCCTCAAGAGGTCAAAGTTAGACTCACTGCATATGAGACAAACTGTCCTCACGTACTAGCTAACAGGACACACTGAGAAGGACACGGCACCACTGAGCCTGAACCTGATCGTGAGGAAACCTTAGACAGCCCAGACCCAGGGCCAGTGTACAAAATAACCAGACTGTGCTCATCTGACACGTCAAGGTCATGGAACACAAAGATCCTTCATTGAATCCTGGGTGAGAAAAATGCTTTTTTCCCTATAAAAGACCTTATTAGCAAGACTAACAAAAATCTGAATTAGGTCTGTAGATTAGACAATAGTATTGTAGCATCATTAATTTCCTGGTTTTGGCTGGGCACCATGGCTCACGCCTGTAATCCCAGCACTTTGGGAGGACAAGGAGGGTGGATCGCCTGAGGTCAGGAGTTCAAGACCAGCCTGGCCAACATGTTGAAACCATGTCTCTACTACAAATACAAAAATTAGCTGGATATGGTGGCGCATCCCTATGATCCCAGCTACTTGGGAGGCTGAGGCAAGAGAATCGCTTGAACCCGGAAGGAGGAGGTTGCAGTGAGTGGAGATCGTGCAACTGTACTCAAGCCTGGGTGACAGAGTCAAGAAAAAATTTCTTGGTTTTAATATTTGTTCTGTGGTTATATAAGAGAACATCCTTGGGTTTTTAAAATTTTTTTGAAAATACTCAAGTATTTATGGGTAAAAAGAAATCATATGCACGATTTGCTCTCAAACTACGCATATATATATAAACTCCCACACATACACAGAATGGGGGACAATCTGGATGACAGTATACAGGAAATCTTTGTATTATTTTTGCAACTTTTCTGTGAGTCTGAAATTACACTCGATTTTTTAATCTTTTTTTTTTTTTAAGTCAGTCAGATTAGTTGTTAACCTGCCCCAAACCCCTCTGTAACTTCCCATCTCACTCAATGAAGTCCTTCCAGCCCCTAATGGAAGTGCCGGTCCTCTGCCTGCTCCCCTCTCTCCCTGCACCCACTGCTGCCCCTCCTCAGCCCCCAGGTCTCCCTACTACTCCCCAGACAAGGCAAGCGTGCTCCCACCTCAGGGCCTTTGTGCCTGCCATGACCCCCAGCCTGTGGTGCTCCTCCCCTGCCCATGCCGGCTCGCTCCTCCCTTCCCCTCTTCCAGTCCCTGCCCAGACATCACCTTCTCATGGAGGTCTTCTCCAACCTTCTCTGGCCACCAGATTGATTGATTGGTTGATTGATGGAGTCTCACTCTGTTGCCCAAACTGAAGAGCAGCGATGCCAGATCTCAGCTCACTGCCACCTCCGCCTCCCAGCCTCAAGCAATTCTCCTGCCTTAGCCTCCTGAGTAGTTGGGATTACAGGCATGCCCCACCACGCCCAGCTAATTTTTGTATTTTTAGTAGAGGCGTGTTGCCCAGGCTGGTCTTGAACTCTTGACTTCAAGTGATCTGCCCACCTCCTCTGGCCACCCTGTTTAGAAGCTCACCTCATCGCCCCTACTCTCTCCCTGTGCTTCATTTTTCTTCACAGCACCAGTCAGGGATTGCTGCTTCAGATCTGTTTATGGACGTACCCTCCTCCTAGGAAGGAAGCTGAGGGCACAGGCATTGTTGGTCTGGGTCCCTGTCATATACCCTAGAATGCTGCCTGAACATGATACACGCTACATAAATACTTGCTGAGAGACTAGATGAATGAATGGCATTTCCCCACCGCAGTCTCTTGCTGCTATCTGAGCTCACATATATTTAACATTTCACTAGTGACTGATAGTACACCAAATATATTAATCTATGCTGCCTCATTTAACCCTCCCATAACCTTATGGGATAGAGACTTTTACCTCCATTTTACAGAGGAAGAAACTGAGCCACCAAGAGGTTAGGCAACTGGCCCAAAGTCACATGGCGTGAACCGAGGCACAACTCAGTCCTCCCAACCCAGGCCCCACCTATCCCTCGGCCCGTCCCGCCCTGCATAGACTTGCCAGCACAGAACATGTTGTCGGTGATGCGGATCCGGGTGGAGGCCTTGCAGACCGGCCGCTCCACAATGGGCAGATTCACCACCTGCAGGACGCTGGGCAGCACCTTACCGCTGGCTGTCCACGTCTCCTTCAGGTTGCCCCAGCCAGTCACCCGCCCCAGGTATCCAGACTGGAGCAAGCTTTGGGGAAGGGAAAAGGGCCTGGTGAGAGCCAACCCCCCAGGAGCCGCCTAGCCCTGATGTCATTCCTCAGAGACCAGAATCTAAAACACCAGTGCTGGCTGGGCACAGAGGCTCACACCTGTAACCCTAGCACCATGGGAGGCCAAAGCGGGCAGGTCACATGAGGTCAGGGATTCAAGACCAGCCTGGCTGACACAGTGAAATGCACAGTCTCTACTAAAAATAGAAAAATTCGATAGGCATTGTGGTCCATGCCTATAATCCCAGCTGAGGCAAGAGAAACCCTTGAAGCTGGGAGGCGGGCTTGCAGTGAGCTGAGATTGCACCACTGCACTCCAGCCTGGGAGACAAATGAAACTCCATCAATAAATAAATAAAAATTTAAAAATGAAATGCTAGCCGGGCATGGTGGCATGCCTGTAATCCCAACTACTCTGGAGGCTGAGGCAGAAGAATTGCTTGAACCCAGAAGGCGGAGGTTGCAGTGAGCCGAGATTGCACTACTGCACTCCATCCTGGGTGACAGAGCAAAACTCCATCTTGAAAAATTAAATAAATAAATAAATGCCAGTGTTGGAAAAACTTTTGGGTTCACTCTAGGAAACTGAGGCCTGGAAAAGGGGTAAGGACTCCTGCAAGGCTACTAGGCTCTGCCCCCCAGCTAATAAGCTTCTGGTGGCCCACCTGGCTGCTGTCTCTCTGTCGGGCAGGCACACGGGGTGAATGTAGTCGCTGAAGGTGATGGGCTTCTTTAGCTTCAGCAGGGCGATGTCCCGGTCCAGATTCTCCCGCCAGTTGTACCTGGGGTGGATGTAGATCTTTTCCAACATGGATATCTTTTCTATGTTGCGTTCGTACCTGCAGAGACCCCAAGAGAGAAATGAGGAAGCTGCAGGTTCACCCAGTGAGGGGCAGGAAACTGCCTGCCCTTGGGGTCTGGGAGACAGGGTGCTCTGCAGGCCATCAGGGAGGGGATAGGGCTGGCTCCTGCCATGGCAGCCCCCTGGCCGTATCTTCCTGGGCCTAAAGCCATGCAGGGCTTTGGAGTCAGTCAACGGGGTGGACAGGGATGGGGGCACAGGTAGCACCCCCCGGTCCAGACAGACTCTATTTTCAAACTCCCAAGTGGGCCATATGCTGGTGTTGGAGGGACCAGGAGACAGACTGGGATGTCTGCCTCCAGCTCCAAACCTCAGTCAGGACATGGCCAAATGGACTTTCCAGCAGAGACTGTGGGGATGTCATGTTGTGGGGGGTGTACAGAACATCCCATGTGGCCCAGAGCCATCAGGTCCCCTCATGGTCGCTCTGGAGGACTGAGACCCCTGCCAGACACCCACAGGCCACCAGTTCTGTACCTGGTGCGGGCATGCTTGCCAATGCGCACCAGAAGGTCATTCTCAGTGAAGTTCTTGTCCCAGGGCGGGTACAGGAGGCAGTGGGCAGCGGTGAGGACCCAGCGGTCACTGATGAGGCTGGCTCCACACAGCAGCTCCTGGGGAGCCTTCCGGAAAAGCATCACCTGCCTAGGAGGGGGAGCAGGAAGAATTAGGAGCTGAGGGGGAGGGGGCTGCCTCTACACCAACCCTAGAACTAATGAGTCCCAGGTCTAAGAACCAGCTGGGCAGAACTGCTTCCCAGGCCCAGATCCCAGCTTGGGCTGGCTGCCCTTTGGGCCTGGAGCCTCCGTGTGATGCTGAGGGGCTACCTCACACCTTTTTATTTTTTCAAGACAGGGTCTCACTCTGTTACCCAGGCTGGAGTGCAATGGTACGGTCACAGCTCACTGAAGCCTCAACCTCCTGGGCTCAAGCAATTCTCCCACCTCAGCCTCCTTAGTAGCAGGGACTATAGGCATGTGCTACTATACCTGGCTAACTTTTGTATTTCAGTAGAGATGGGGTTTCACTATGTTGCCCAGGCTGGCCTTGAATCCCTGACCTCAAGTGATCTTCCCATCTTGGCCTCCCAAAGTGCTGGGATTACAGGGGTAAGACACTGCACCTGAACTACTTCCTGCTTTTTTTCACCCCCTCCCCAGGTCCTTCCAGTCCACAATTCACATAGCATAGCACGACTCTGGAATCAGAAGAACTGAATTCAAATCCATTAGCAGCGTGCAGATCACATCCGGCCCACAGCTCTGTCTCAGCTTCACCATCTGCTTAGAAGTAAAGAACCAACGGGCCAGGTGTGGTGGCTCATACCTGTAATCCCAGCATTTTGGGAGGCTGAGGCAGGTGGATCACTTGAGGTGAGGAGTTCAAGACCAGCCTGGCCAACATGGCGAAACCCCATCTCTACTAAAAATACAAAAATTAGCCGGGCGTGATGGCGTGTGCCTGTAGCCCCAGCTACACAGGAGACTGAGGCAGGAGAGTCGCTTGAACCCAAGAGGTGGAGGTTGCAGTGAGCCGAGATTGTGCCACTGTACTCTAGCCTGGGTGATAGGGTGAGATTCCATCTCAAAAAAAAAAGAAGTAAATAACCCATCTCATTTGGCTGCCGTGTGAAGTTGGTGGGATCCTAGATGCTGAGCTGTTGTCATCTGTGAAGCCCGGACCTGCTGGCAGGGCCTGAGGATGAGGAGCCAGCAGCAGGCCCGCCCCCAGAAGTGAATGGCAGGACCCACCAAGGTGAGATGCCGATCTCCGCATCCCAGCCCTCCACAATGCGTCCATCGATATAGGATTCCAAGAGCTCTTTTTCAGTTTTGTCCTTCAGCAACTTCTTCTCAAACAGAGGTCGAAGCCCACAGTCTGCAGAGCAAGCCAAGGGGTGAGGGGTGAGTGCCAGCCACCAGCCCCACAGCTCCGAAGCCCCATGTCCCCTTGGATGCCCACTACCTCACCTGACTCCCCTGAGCCGAAGGTCCCCGGATTGAAGAAAGTCTGGTAGTCATTGATGGAGGTGCGCCCTTGGATGGCCCCCTCTGGGTCCTCACCCGGCCCATATCCTGGCTCCTCATCCACGGCGTCCTCTGTTGAGACCCAGCCACTGACTGAGACTGGGCTGGGTGATTCCTCACCCATCCCCTAGATCACCCCAATTCCCCTACGGGCCATGGAGGCCATTTGGCACGGAGGTTAAGCGTACAGGCACACTTGGGTGACTAGGCAATAACCTCCTGGGACCTCAGTGTATTTATCTATTTTTTTTTTAAGATGGAGTTTCACCATGATGGCCAGGCTGGTCTTGAACTCCTGACCTCAGGTGATCCACCCACCTCGGCCTCCCAAAGTGCTAGGATTACAGGCATGAGCCACCGCGCCCGGCCCTCTCAGTGTACTTATCTATGAAATGGGCACGGGACCTTACCCTCACCTGGTTACCATAAGGCTGTAATGAGTGCACTCAATGTGGTGAGTGTTCAATAAGCAGAAGCAACTGTTGTTATTCCCGCCAGGATATGTCCCTGCATCTCAGGCCCCCTACCCAGGCAGCTTACCACAATAGTTGAGGTCGCAGTACTCAAAGTCGCCAGGCCTTCCGGCCACATAACACCACGCGCCCTCCTCGTCCCCATCTGGGTTTCGGCAGAAGTTCTCCACCAGCGGCACAGCTGAGCTGAAGTCCTGGTTCTTGCTCAGGGCCTTGGCTTGCGGGCTGGCCCAGGCCAGGCAGGGGAGCCCACTTGCGGTCACTGCCAGGCGCCCCTGGTACTGCCGCCCCCGATCGGGGACACACCACTCCGATGGAGGTGACAGATTTCCCCCGGAGCCTCGGGAGCGTGGAGTCATCGCTACAGTGACTCGATCCTCGCCTGGTGTGTGAGGAAGGAGGAGGCAGTATGTGTGAGACCACACATGGACCAGAACAGACAGGGATGTGAACCCCGATCTTGCTTTCTGCCTGCATGGCCTGAGGTTACTTAACCTCTCTGGGCTTCTGTTTGTCTGCCTTTAAAGGCGTTATCAACGCCACTCTAGCAGGCTTGTTGAGAGAATTAAAATATACAGCATTAAGTGTCTGGCACAGAATAAACCAGAGATAGTAACCAGGTTTGGCCTCCTGGGCTACCTGTGGTCAGCTGGTAGTGACTGTCTGAAGGCTGCCGCAGGCACCTGGGAAAACTCTTATGCTGATGGCAGACACAGAAAACAAGGAACAGAAAAGCGTCATGTGTCCTGAAGGCCTAGGCCCAGAACAGGCACAGTCAGCCCCGCTCACGTTCCACTGGCCTCTTGGGTTATCTGTAGTCAGCTGATAGTGGCTGCCTGGAGCTGCTGGAGGAGTCTGTGTTTTTTTTTTTTTTTTTGAGACGGAGTTTCGCTGTTGTTACCCAGACTGGAGTGCAATGGCATGATCTCGGTTCACCGCAACCTCTGCCTCCTGGATTCAAGCAATTCTCCTGCCTCAGCCTCCCGAGTAGCTGGGACTACAGGCACGTGCCACCATGCCCAGCTAATTTTTGTATTTTCAGTAGAGACGGGGTTTCACCTTGTTGACCAGGATGGTCTCGATCTCTTGACCTCGTGATCCATCCACCTCGGCCTCCCAAAGTGCTGGGATTATAGGCTTGAGCCACCGCACCCGGCCTGAGTCTGTGTTTTTATAGGGCACAGCAGGAAGCTTGCTGGGATCACTAAGATGTTCACCTGGAGAGTAGGTCAATTTCTGCAAGCCTGAAACTTATTTATCATCTGTGTGTGTGTGTGTGTGTGTGTGTGTGTGTGTGTGTGTGTGCATATGGGAGTTGGGGGGTAAATGGTAGCCTTTTTCGTTAGGATGAACTTGCTATAAATCCAATCGCAGGAGCCAGGCGGTGACTCACTCCTGGCTTTGGGAGCCCAAGACGGGCGGATCAC